CGAAGTAGCCTGCAGTGCTGCATTTAACCACTGCGCCACCTCGGCTCTTTATGCCCGGCACCAGAGAGCTAATAGGCATCAGGAACAGTTGCGCAGTTAAAGGAGGTAATTGCATTCAGCTGGTGGTCATTAGGCTCCTCTCCAGACTATAAAAAGACTGCTTGTGCACATGGCCCTCTTGCACAAGTCAATGCAGGAATTAATGTTGGAGAACATTATTGTGAGCTTGGCAGGCTGGATTGCTGCCACGGCTTATCTGTGCTGGTTTTCTGCCAAGGACCTGTCTGTCTGTTGATTAAATGCCGTAACTTATCTTTGGCTCGGCGTGCTTTGGTGTAGGACGAGGGGGGTCAGAACACCTAATATAAATAAAAGAGTAACACCTGATGGTTAATCTAATATACTGTAGGTCTGTGATGGCAAACCTATGGCACATGTGCCAGAAGTGGCATGCAGAACCATCTCTCTGGGCATGTGAACCATCACTGTTGCTCATCCCCACTCCCATCCATTGGATCTTCCTCAGAGAAAATCCCAGTTCCTTCAATCTTTCTCTATAGCAGCAATTCCCAACCCTTTGGGCACCAGGGACTGGTTCCATGAAAAACAATTTTTCCAGACTGGGGGGTGGGGGGGGAATGGTTTTGCATGCTACCTTGATCTCGCGCATGCACAGATAAAGCTTCGCTCGCTTGTGCAGACCGACCAGTTCTTAAATGGGCTGCGTACAGTATTCAAGGAGTCTTACCACGCGGATTTAATGATTTCTCTTCAATAGTATTATGTTTGCAAATATACTGATATTATGTATGAAAACACAGTTGATCGGAGGAACCTTGGAAGAGAGAATGGAGAGGTCTTTAAAAAGATGACTGTGAAGGAACAGAAGATTATTAGCAGGAGGAAGGTTATAACTAGTGTCATTAAAATTTCCATGAAAAACATATTTAATTGGAAACTACACGTCCTGAGCATATTTAATAGCATGTTTTGTTATCAAGCAGTATGGGACTGTAAGCTCCTGTTTCTTACCTACTGGGAGATATTGGAATTTACAGTTCTATCTCACTCATTTCATTTTCATTTTTTTCATTTCATTTATTTGACATTTATAGGCCTCAGGAAACAACTGAAGGCATAATCTACTTTAAAATATTTTAAATAAACAATCCACTAGTTTTTCCACAATCTTAAGGCTGCAATCCTCTATACATCTACTTGGGAGTAAATACCTATGAAGGGAGTCAGTTATTTGTATTAAATACCTGCTATCATTTGAGGGGGGGAAGCGGGACTGTCACGATCATTCAAAACATTCCACAATGCCAGTTTTCTAGGCCATTTATTTTAGGTTTAGGTTTATTAGATTTATATGCCGCCCTTCTCCCAAGGACTCAGGGCGGCGTACAACATTAAAAGAAATACAAAATACAAAAGTTAAAAAAAATTAAATATTTTTCAAAGGAAGGGGCTAAATTTTTTTTTAAAAAAATGTTATTGTCAATTCTTATTAATATTCTTATTGGGTTTGTTTTGTTATCAAGCAGTATGGGACTGTAAGCTCCTGTTTCTTACCTACTGGGAGATATTGGAATTTACAGTTCTATCTCACTCAGGAAACAACTGAAGGGATAATCTACTTTAAAATATTTTAAATAAACAATCCACTAGTTTTGGGTTTACAAACCCAATAAGAATATTAATAAGAATTGACAATAACATTTTTTAAAAAAAAAATTTAGCCCCTTCCTTTGAAGAATATTTAATTTTTTTTAACTTTTGTATTTTGTATTTCTTTTAATGTTGTACGCCGCCCTGAGTCCTTGGGAGAAGGGCGGCATATAAATCTAATAAACCTAAACCTAAAATAAATGGCCTAGAAAACTGGCATTGTGGAATGTTTTGAATGATC